ATATATATATATATACAAATATATATTTTTTCTTAAACACTCCAAGGAAAACAAAAAAAAAACCAGAACCAAAACCATGGAAAATACAAAATGTGCATCAACACTCTGTCAAGCTATCTGCCTAAGCTTTAACACCACCACCATTATTAACATAATCCTCTTCGTCTGTTAATAGATCTGACTCCAAGACGCCCAGAGAGAGAAGTGCAAGTTTTCCCATACTAACGAATATCGATGGACCACTAACAAAAGCTAAAACAGGTGATGCACTCACAAATTCACGAACAAAATTATGTATATCTTCCACAGTTGGTCGTCGTCCACATACCGTAATTGCACGTAGAGACTCATTCATCATAATAGTATCAGAGTTCTGTTTAGTGAGATAGCATTGAAAACGGTATGTAAAGTGCACTTCTTTAGCGTAATGCCATTGAATGTATTTTTGAAGTCCCACAACAGAAGACGTTGTTCTGTCTACATGCAAGTGAAGAACATGAAGTTTCGGTATTTCCTTTTCTGGTATTTCTTCAAAGTAACGACAAAGTGAAGCATATGCTGGTGTAATACCAATACCAGCAGAAAGTATCACAATACGTCCTTCTATCTCACGCAATCGACTCATATGATGCGTAAAAGTGAAATTTCCCCCAACACGAATAAGTGTAAATTGTTGATGTAAAGCATTACTGAACATCCAAACACTCCCACCTCGACTTTCATTCGCAGCTTTAATAATAAGGGTAAAAAGAGAACCTTCCTTGTTTGTATCAATAACTGTCCACCGTCGCACAAATGGATTACCATAAGGGTCTAAAAAAGGTAATTTTAAATCAACAAATTGACCTGGAATCAATTGTTTTTCGAGTCGTCCTTGACAAATATTAAAATAAAACTTTTTCGTAGAATCACAAAGATTTTCTACTTTTACACACTGTAAAATTGGTTTTTCTGAAGATCCAGGAAAACGCATTTTATTCAGAGCTCCCATCTCAGCAAAAACCTGTCCACTACGTAAACCACTATGAATTTTCTTCATACTACCACAACCACTACAATTCATTGGCATTGTCATTGCCTTCTCTTGGTTAGCAAGAGCCATTTCGGCATATACGTCACTATCAACACGTGGTTCGCTGGTGTTTACTGTCACATATACTTCATCATTTTCAATTGTAACGATGTGTGTACGTTGTTTTCTTCCTTTAGATCGCACTACTTGCGGAGCGTTTTTATCAGGGATTCCATTTGGCAACATCTGCAGTGCCCAATAAAGACCTTCTCCAGTGTCAAGGGTAATGTGGTATTGATGCCATGGACAAACAATACATGGATGACCTCCCATATCTTCAATATCTCCTTCTAGTAATGGTCCACCATGATGATAACAAGCATTATCAAGCGCAAAAAACTGACCCCCGTATCGATATACCGCAATATTCCTATTGCCAGACTTCACCAATTGACGACTTTTTTCCTTAAATGCGGAAACAGGCCCCACATGAACTCGTGTGGGGTCCATCAGTACTAGTCTAGGAATGAATATAATCAAATAATTATAAAGGAAGGAAAAAAGAAGGGGGGAAAAAAAGAAAATAATACTAATAATAATAATTAGAATAATAATAGTCTAACCCATTAAAATGATCAAGAAAAATATTCTTGTTCCTCACTTATTTTTTATTTATTTATTAGAGGAATGCATACTTTATTTATTTATTATTTTTATTATTATTTTTTTTTTTTGGTTTCTCTTTGTTCTTTCCTTTTACTTTTTTTTTTAGCCCTTGTTTTCTTTTTTAAAGAAAAAGAAAAGAGCACTCGAGAATAACTGAGAACGTTTGTTTGTTTTTGTTAGTTTGTTTTAGAATAACAAAAAAAAAAAAAAATATTACGCACCTTTAAGAGAAAACTTCTGTTTCTCAGCGCTTTCCACAACACGCTCACGGTAAAGCCCTTTACGACGTCGAATACGCTCCAGTAGTTGTTCTGCAATATTTTTTGTTGCCAATTCCGCCCCATGTTCCTCCAGTTCTTCCTTTGTTGTTGGTGTAAAGTATGGATCGGCATCCACAATATTCCAATGACTCATTTGCAGCTGCGCGGTGGATGCCCCTTGCGTGGCGACCCGTAATTCATCCTGCAGTCCAAAGGCCTCCACCGCAGGGAGAAGACAACGAATATAAAAGAGATCACTGCCCTCGTTTGGCACCTCCTCAAGAATTTCTGATCGGCGCCGGCTGAGAGCACTATATATCTTTCCATGCGTAGACCCTGAGGAGTAAACTGTACATTCATACACGGGCTCTACAAGTCGTCTTGGGTGAAGTTCCATTGCCGTTCGACAGGCATCACGCACACACGGTATCACCATTCCTCCTGTTAATCCAGTGGAAGTGTCTATAGAAAGATCAGTGATCACAAAGGCAATGTTAAACATTGGCTCCTGTGCCATTGGACCACTCTCAGCAGCCGCCTGAAATCCTGCCGTAATAGAATCTTTCCAGGTATTAAAAAGTTGTAACTTCTCTGCTGCAGCGTCATCGTTACCAAAATGAAGAAGAAGAATGGCACCAAGAAATCCAAGTTTTGTTGGACCCCAAGCCACAATACCATGTTGTACTTCCGCACTCCATCGTTTATTTTCAGCTAGAATAGTTTTTACTTGACGACATAATTGAGGATTAGAACCATGGTTTCTATCATCATCCTTAAGTATTTCAAGTACTTCTGATGGTAAACAACGGGCGTAAAGGGTCATAGAGAAGGCACCATCCAATGCTGACACGGTGTGTAGCTTTGGCTTTGTGCTAATGTTACTAATACTTCCACCAGAACCACCGACTACAATAGTTTCTCGGAAAGAGACAAGCGGTTCTGAAGCCACTACTTCCACACGAGCAAAAGTATCCACAAGATCTTTTATACAACGTTCCAAGTGAACCTCTCCAGCAGTTCCAATAACATGTTCACCCGTGGGAAGTATACTTACTTCCACTTGTGGATCCACCTTATATAATAATCGTAGTCCTTGCACCAGTTGAAATAAATCTTTTGGATCTTTTGGAAATACAGAAGCACGAACAATAGATGTACTCGGAAGTACAAGTGGTTTAAATGGTGGAACACCTTCTAAACTAGATAAGGTGGCATACTTTGTAATATAAGGTGTAAGTCCACCAATACCACAAAGTGTCCCACTACATGCCTCTGCAGCCTCATCTAATCCTGTACCTCGAAAAAGAAATACTTTACGTACAACTGCTTCTACAATTTTATCATCACTTTGAACGTATACCGTTTTTCCAGGTTGAAGACGTCCACTATAAACACGAGCAAATCCAATAAAGGCATCATCACTACACCCTTCTTGACCTATTATGGTTCCAACAAGAAATTGGGTATCAATAAGTTTACAGACATACACAATACATGGGGCATCAGGTGAAGGTGAACATTCCATTAATGCTTCTTGTACAGAAGCTGGTGCTTCATCAAATTTAGGCATGAGAAACCGTATACGTCGTCTTTGCGCTTCCACAGGAGAATCCAATTTTTCACAAATTGTACTTAAAACACTTTTAGCAACTGGAAGCCAATAAGAAAGTAGAGCTTTTAATTTTCCCCTTTTTTCTCTACGAGGATTATTCCATACTCGTTCTGGAACACCTAACTTCGCAGCCATACGTAATTGTTGCTCTAAATTATCCTCCTCCTCAAGAAAAGTTTTATATAATTGCCAAATAGGTTCAAGCATTAATTGAACGACTAAAGGTTGTTGTCCTGCTCGCAATGGACTCGTTTCGATGGTTTTTGTTTTATTATCTAAGTAGTATTCACCCCAAAGATAAGTTTGAAGATTAGAAATACCCAATTTCTCTTCATATAGAGAAGCAAAGAAAGAAGTACCAAAAGCCCATCCATCATAGCAACTACAAAATAGTACATTTCCCTTCGTCGGACAAAACCATACATCATCACTAGGATCTCCACGATCTTGAGATAACGCAGAATCCTCTTCTTGAATTTTTAGCTGATTAGCGAACCCAGCAAGTGCTGCATTGCAAGTTTCTATAATAGAACGCATACGGTAATATGCTTCCTCTGGTGAAAGTTGCTGAACAGCAATAAGAAGATCTACTTTATTGAGAACGAGACACATAGAGAGACCTTCTCGATAGGCATGTCGCAATATACTACTTGTTTGTTGAGTTACCCCATCCACAACGTCCACAATAACAACCGCCCCATCACACAACCGCATCGCTGTGGAGACTTCACATGAAAAGTCAATATGCCCCGGTGAATCCACAAGATTTAAAAGATGTTCCACACCCTTGTATGTATGTCGAAGTGCAATAGAACTGGCTTTCATTGTAATACAACGTTCCTGTTCATCCGGGCGGGAGTCCAGCAATCGAACTTCACCTGCAAGCTGCGGTGAGAGAATGCCGTTGCTCGCAACTAGATAATCGCTGAGTGTTGTCTTGCCATGGTCAACATGAGCCACCATACAGAAATTACGGGTTCGCTCCGGTCTTTCACTGAGGTGCTGCAGATACGCAGTAGTTTCAAGACTCATTTTATATATATATATATATATATATATATATATTTTTCTTCCTTCTCTCTATTCCCTTCTCAGTACCTTTATGTGAGTAATCTCGGGTGTAATATATATGTCTGTATATATATATACACGTTAAATATATTTAAAAAAAGAAAAAGAAAAACGTTCGAAATAAATAACAAAACCTTCCTTACCACACCTTTAGGTTTTGTTATTTATTTCTTGTTTCAGCTTCTATCTCAACTACTTCTAATCGTTGCAACACCCCATAAGAAAGAGAGGCATACAATAAAGAAGAAAAGAAGAAAAAAAAAAGAAAAAGAAGGAAATATGAGAAACAAAAAGAATAAAAAAAAAAAAAAAAAAAAAAAAAAAACAAATTTAACTCAGTGATATTCAATTCACCACAATATATATATAAACATATAAATATAAACAAATAAATAAATATATATCCATTGTCACATTTTTTTTTTCGCCCTCGCTGGGCGGCAAACACACCAACATGCTAATAAATATATGTATTTTTCTTTCTTTTTTTTTTTCTTCTTTTTCATCTTCAACTACCTTACCCGTACACAATCCTTGTACGTCTGTTCGTAAACTGTGTCAATGTATTTGCCACTCCCTACTTCCTATGTGCTACTGCAATAAAAACAAACAATAAACAAAAATAAACACACAAACACACAAACAGACTCAGATACCGAAAAACACTAGAAAACAAAACAACAAGATCGGTATGTCTAGAACAGTTCCGGTCTGGCCTTCGGCAACATGATCCAGTGTCCATCAGGTCCATGCAATCCGCTGAAGGACTTCTCCTTTGGCATTAAGAAGTATAAGTAAATGAAGGCCACGAGGTAACCCCAAACTTGGAAGTACTTCTTACGAGATTGAATCTCAATAAGCTCCGTTGTGGAAATATCCCATGGCTTCTTCGTGTGTCGCTGATAGTACTTCGCCTCAGGAGCCGGTAGCTTTTCAATCTTCACATCCATCGGCTGAAAGTACGTCCATGAGAGGTAGGAATCATAAATGGCCGTGTTGGGCTCATGAAAAGGAGAAGAGGAACGAATACCGCGTTCATTCACTGGAAAGACATTTTGAATATCACACGTATTGTTGCACTCACCACCAGTTGAGAATGTGGGGCCGTTGCCAACCAGCGCCTTACGCGTGGCGGCCAAGGCATATATGGGCGTTTTCCGCATCATCTCTACCAGGGAATAGAGAAATAACAACCAAAAAAAAAAAAAATCAAAAAGAAAGAATATATATATATATATATATATATATATATAAAGAAATGAATAAATAAATAAATAAAAGCACACAGAAAGGTACAAAAAAGAAAAAGAGAGAGAGAACCCACAGTTAGAACAATACGGAATAAATAAATACCATACGTATTTAAACATGTATATATATATACACGTAGATCTTTACAACAACAACAACAACAACAACAGGATAAAAATCATTCCTTTATGGAAACCCCTTTCTCTCAAACGTCCCAAAAAAGAGAAACCAAGAAAGAACCATTAATCAATAAGAAGTATTACTGGCAAAAAGTAATAATAGTAATAACACAGAGACATAAATATATATATATATATAGGATAAATAAAATCTCTATTTTATTCTGCACAAAGTATCGTTACGCCTTCACTTAACTAGTGACTAGAGTTGTTTAAAATAATCGCTAATGTGAGTGCTTTTGTAAGGAGTTCCATTACCCACGCCTCTGTTAATTGCGTCTCTGGTTGTGTGAATACTCCTTCAATCTCCACTTCATATGAAGTAGCGCCATTACTCTCCACTACACGTGTCATATCATAGCGAAATAACCCATCGACGATACTTGTCCGCTCCTTAAGGCGAGTGTAACCCACTTCTGGGGCAGTACCAGGTTTAGGCAAACTACCAGATGTCTCTGTGGAAACAGAGAAACGAATATTATAAGGAGCAAAAGGTACTAGAATATCACTTACAAATACGCGATTCTTCTTTACACGGCTTATACATCGCGTGGGTTCATTATCATCTGGCTCTGCTGTATAGGTGTAACGCCAATTATGCGCAACGACATCACGGGTTGTGGAGTGTGTAATGTTTCCATCCATTGCTTTGGAGATACAATATGCCTTCAGGCGTTCATAATGATTTGCAGATACACCAGGCTTTACTTTTGCCTCAACAAGACGTAATTCATCATTCTGCACATTACCACTCTTTGAAGAAGTATCTTTACACGCCGTAAATCGGCATAATCGAACTTCTACTTCTAAAGAAGACTCTGATCGACGCTTTATTAAACGTTCCAAGAGGGCTTTAGCCACTACCTTTAACTCATCCACATGGGAGGCAATTATCGCATCTATTGATTCCTCTTTCTGAGTTCCTAACATTACTTTCTTCCTCCTATTCTTTTTTTTTTTTTTATTTACTTCGTTGCGTTGTATTAGTATTTGTAGAAAGTAAAAAACAAAAAAAAAAAAACTTAAAAGGAATAATTAACAAGAATAACAAGGGGAAGCATAATTGCAGACACATTCCATTAAACACTCCTTACTAGCACTACCACTACCACTACCCTCACTTGTTGTCTCAATTTATTTTCACATTACAAATAGTTGCTGTGGCACTAACAGCAGCCGTATATATGTATATTTTTTTTATTTTTCTTTGGTTCCACCAAACGAAAGGAATATAATAATAATAAAATCGTCTTTTTTAATTATCGTTTTCCTTATTCAAATTCAAAATGTACACAATTCTGAAATAATAATAATAATAATAATAATAATAATAATAATAATAATAATAACAGCTATTATTACTACAACTACCACTTCTACTAAGTGGTATACCATCACTTTCAAGATGTCCGGGATCGTTTGCGTCTTAACAAGGGACATTCGGCCCGTGAGTGCCCAGCATCATTGCAGTAACTACAGTGTGTATAGGAGGTGGCGTGAGCACGGCCTCGATAACCTGTACTATTACCTTGCATACTCTCTGCAACTCTCTCTGCATTCTGCATTTCCCTAATCTCCCGCACTTGTTCTTCCTTCTCCCGTTGTTTTTCTTCCGCTGTTTTCTTAAGATCTGCTACCACCTGCTCTACTTCTGTCATGAGTGATTTCGCCTCACTGTGATTAGCGTCTAACTCTAAACACCGCCGTAGTGCCGAGTGGGCTTCATTTGGATGTTTGAGATGATGTTGGGCGTATCCAATGCGGAAAAAGGCTCTAGCGTACATGGGATGTACTTCTGCTGCCTTCATTCCATCTTCTAAAGACTCTGCATATCGTCCTAAACGACTATAGGCTGCACTTCGATTACACAGTAAAACGGCTAGGTCAGACATTTTATTTGTCATATTATTATTATTATTATTATTATTATTATTATTATTATTATTATTATTACTATTACTATTATTACTATTGTTGGACTCAGTAGCACATTTTCTGTGGAGTTCAATCGCTTTTGAGAAATGCCGCACAGCGCTCAAGTATTCACCTTTCCCCATAGCCTCTTTTCCCTGTTCAATTCCCTTTCGATAATAGTAAGCATCCTTTGTCTCCTGCGAGGCGATACCCTTCCCATCTCGTATGAGTAGCAATACTGCCTGTTGCTGTTGTGAATAGAAAGTATTGGCGGGATCTAATTCTTTAGCCCGCCCGTAATGATGCGCGGCCTCTTCGTAGTGCTTTAGTCCGTGATAAGCTGTCGCCAACCGTCCATGCACTTTACTATTATTCTCATCTAATTGCAGTGCCTTCTTTGCAGCGTCAAGGGCAGCTGTGTACTGTTCCCTTGCGGCGTAGCAGGCACTGGCGTTGGAGTACGCCCGCACCTTTTCACCATTCGTGGAGGAGTCATCAGCGGCGATGGATGTGTAGACACCAACAGCATCAATGTGATTGCCCTCCCGTACGAGAGAGGCCGCCTTGGCAAAATCCTCTTCAAAGCTGCTAGTCATCCCTTGTTTACTACAGACCTTCTTTTTTTTTTTTTTTCTCTCTCTCTGTGAGTGTGTGTATTGGATATGTGCGAGACTTTATGTATACATAGAGTAGAAGAATAAGAAATAACACGTATGAGATTCTTTTTTTTTTTTTTTTTTTTTTGGGGGGGGGGGAATTAACAGAATGGAACCCTGATAATGAGAACACAACCATAATAACCAGAATAATAAAAATCCCTCCAAAAAAAAATATATATATATATATATATATATACTTCATTACAGACTACTGTAAAGAGCAGCGCAGCAACAGTCACAACAAGAGAAAGCATCGATAGTAACAATACTGAAAACTCACCAAAATAATAAAAAATAATAAAATAAAAATAAAAATAAAACACGCACATAGAATGTCCCTATATAACTGTAGAACAACTCTTCAACTTTTAACCATAAAATATATTACAGTGATAATAGCCATTAGAATTAAACAACATACAGCGTAAACAGCCATCATGGGGCGATCCATTTTCCTTATCGCCTCCCTTATCTTGATGTTTAACTTACCTAATTTCCCATGAACATAATCTACTTTTTGTTCAGTTTCCTCTAACATTTGTTCTTGTACTTGAAGTTCAGATGTAATCTGGATTGCATTTTCGTTAAGCCGTTGAACACCAGTATAGATACGATCAAGAGCTTCATCAATCATCATATCATTCTTTTGTGTACTTTGAAAAAACTGTATGAATTCTTTGTCATCACGTATATTGTAGCCATGTGAAGGATGGGAAGAAGTAATGTCTCCTCTCTCTGAGAATACAGTACTTTCTTCTAGACTATTTTTAAACCCTGTAAAAGGGACTGAAGTGTTTTGAACATTCTTATCATCTAACTTAACTGCAGGTAGACCCCCACCATAGCGATCACGTACAAGGTTAATTGTACTCTTAAAATGTCTAGAAAGCAATTCAAATTCATGTTGTCGTCTTTCAACAAGTGCCAATTTTTTCGCCGTTTGCATTTCCAATTTGGCCTGTCCTTCCACTCTACGTATTTGTTGACTTAATTCAAAACATTCTTTATGGTTTGCACCTGTATGCATATCATCCAGTTGTGTTACTAACTCTCGTATTTGCCGCAAACAATCTGCGGTTCTAAACTGTGCAGCTTCATAAGATGTGGCCTTCACCTGACCGCTGTGCGGTTGTACTCCTCCTTCTTCTTTATTCTCTTGCAAAGGGAGTTGCGGCGCCGTCGTGACGATGCCGTCGAACTCCGTGCGAACGGACGACGGCCACATCATTGCTGTAATGAATATATATATATATATATATATATATATTTATTTATTTATTTATTTATCCACCGTTGATCACTCACACACACACACAGTGGGGGGAGAGAAAGGAAGAGAACGATAGAGAGATAGAGAAGGATAGAGACTCCAGTACGTTCTGCACTAACCCTTGCCGTGAGAATCTTTCGGCTTGAAGAAGAGCATTCAAGAGAAAAGAGTAAAGAAGAAAAAAAGAGAAAAGGATCCCAAAAAAATCATGAAAAAAACAACAACAAACAAGAAGGCATTAGGAAGGAAAAATAAAGAAAATGTTCATGAAACAATAGACTTGGATCAATCTTTTAATCCTTTTCTTTTTTCTTTTGGTTCTCGTTCTTTTTCCATCTACCCCCCGCCTCTGCTGATGCTTATTCGCGGTTTTTTTTTTTTTTTTGGTGTGTGCACGCATGGTCTCTCTCCGTATAGAGATTTGTTGATACAATATTAACACGAAAGTAAGAATAAAAACAGAAAAACAAATCATACAGATCGGTGAAAGGCCTGCCACAAATCTTTCTGCTTCATTGGCAAGAGAGCCACCATTTCTCGAGATAATCTTACTTCTGCATCTATTTTTTCATCCATGGGATTAAGAGATGCAAAATTAATAACTTCTTGATACATTTTAATAGCAACACCAATGTTGTCATACTCCTCTTTAGGATGCTTAAAATATCGTTTTGTCTGTAATTGGGCCAATCGCATTAATGCTCTGAAGAAAGGCAATCTAGAATCCTCATCCAGGACTTCAGGAATCTGACCAGTCCTGGGATCTTTCCATGTATCACAAAAGCGTTTATAAATAGATTGTGTCTTGTCTGTAAGAGCGTTTATTTTTTTATCAGAGAGTGGTTTCTCATCCTCAGTTGGGTTTTCCTTTTGTTGAATACGGAGTTCTAATATTTCATCATATATACCACCTAGATCAAAAAGTAATTGCCGAACCAATATAGGATAGGCATTAAAGTTAAGATCACCTGGAAATGGTTCAATAAGTGCGGCACGGCGTTGATGCATAGCTATAATGCGATCACGATTATCTTCAAAATGAATAAGTGCTTCATATAATCTTGTAATATCTCTAATAATTTCAATGTGATCAGTACAACTTCCATCATATAAGTAGTACTTAAGAGCTTCATTAAACCATTTATTTCCTTCCTTAAAACATTCACGGGCATCATCAAAGGTTTCAATCACCGGTAGTGGTTGCGGTGGTGGAATATCAAGTGGAAAATTTACCCACCATCCTTCAAACTCATCTGGTAAAGGTCCACTTGGTGCCGATTGCTGACGAACTTCAGCAAAATGATTTAATCGATGTAAATGGAACTTTCCATACGCCCATGCTACAATTCCTAGTGTCTCCTCATTTGGGTTTTCCTTAGGCATCATATACTCCCCAGCACGCAAACAATGAAGAGCTTTTCCATAATCATAGTGACTACTATAAAATGCACTAAGATGTAAAGCATTCGTTGCCCAATCCTTTTTTGAAAATTCTATTTTGTTAAGTAATTGATGGTACAAGGTATGATGACAGTAACGTGAAGCTAAGGTTGTCATTTGACATGCTGTATAAACCTGTGCTAGAAAAAAAAGTGTTGAAGTAAACGCGGTATCCATTTCAAATCTAAGAGTATAAGCCTCCAGTACCTCTGAAGGGATATTTTCTCGATCTAGGGTCCCATTATCCAGTACAGGAATATCTTTCATTGAGCAACTTTCAGGACGAGATTGAAACCATTCATCCCATAATTTATATCCCTTTTCGGCTACATGTAAAACTTGCTTGGCATCATTGATACGTAATGCCGCATCACGATTAGAGAGATATAATCCTAACGCATTGTGAACACGCATAAATTCAGTAACAAAACTATATTCATGTGTAGCATCTACGTAGGGTGTTTCATTCTTGAGAATGTCTTCTAATGGGTATGCCAAAATATCGGCAATATTTTCCAAAAGTTCTTTCTTGGCACCTGAAAGTGTCATTGTATAGGCTTTACGCAACTCCATCACACCGTTACTTTCCTCATCTGTCTCCAACATATTCAATCCAATGAAGATAGTACACCGACACAGTTGACTGAGCGCTGTTAATGAGGCCTCATTCTTATAGGCGTTGGTTACAGATTCTCTTAATGCCTCCATTTGGTCTCTCGCTGTGAATTTGGGTTCGAGAACATTCTGTCTTGGTCCCTCTGTATTACTCAGCGATACAATGGCATCAAAGGATGAAGTGAATGCCTTCGGATCCATCAGATACTATAATCTACTCCTTTCTTTATTATTGTTACTATTTTTTTTTTAATTATTCTTTTTTTTTTATGTCTTTATTCTTGCTTACGCCCGAGGAAAAAAAAAAAAAAAAAACATAACAATAGTAGAAGGAGAAACAGGGAAAGTAAAATTAAAAATAATAATAATAAATACACACACATTACCATTTTTTTTTTTCCTTTTGTCCATTTTGCTTTCTTCACTTTTGGTATATTTTAAGATAAAAAAAAAAACTTAAGAGGAATTCATGTTCATCGTAATAGAGAATTCTTTTTTTTTATTTTCGTTCACAGGTTCGCTGCCATTTAAGGAGTCACTCAAATAAAATCATAATCGTCATCGTGAACACCACCAGTGAAAGTTTTGTCTTCTACCTTGTGGAAACCCACAGCATCGTGAGTTGTTATCCCTTCTACATTTTCATTTGCGGCAGTGTCATCATTGTGGTGTCCTCCTTTCGTCTTTTTTGCCTTCTTCGCTCTACGCTTCGCCTCCTCACTTGCTACGCGCAGTTGACCCACTTCGGCGTTTATAGAGGCAGGTGTTTTAAACTCATTTTGGAGATCCTTAAATATGGCTTCAACCAACGCATTAAAGTGTGATGATGTGGAATACTCCAAGACACGATTAGCAATGGCCTCACCAAGCATAGTGGCTTCTTCAGGGGTGTTAATCGGCATATCTGCAATAATAGCGCAAGTCTTCCCGTCATTTGAGGAATCTTTATTTAAATAAATCATTTCAGCAGCACTGCTGGCCTTTTCAATCATATCATTAAGGGCTCGCGTAATATCGGAGGGAAGCATCTCCTCCTCCTCAACTTCTTCCTTCTTTCCCCTTGCAGGAGCTTTGATGCGCTTCTGTAATTTCAATTCCTCCATTAATGCCTTTTGTTCCAGCATCTCCTTCTCACGTGCTTCTTCCTCTGCTGCTTCTGCCTCCCAATCATCGGCGGCATCGTTGTACTCGTCGTAATCATCGTATTCTTCATCCATTGTTCTCAGGAAAGTTTGCACGCTATATTCCTTTCTGTAGGGAAAAAAAAAGAAAAAAAAAAGGGGGAAACAAAACAGATTCCAAAATAATAATAATAATAATAATAAAAAAAAACAAAACATATGTTTCTCACATTAGTCAAGAAAATTTCGGGAAGAAACAAAGAAGTTCCAGAAACATGATTTTTTTTTTTTTTTTATATACCTCATACAGAACGTAGAGACATTCCGTTTTTTTTTTCTTCATTTTGTTGATGTTATTAGTCTTTTTTTTTGTCTTCTTATTTTTTTTTTTTTTCGTTTTCTCGTTTGTAATGAAAAAAGGAATATGTAGCCGAGGAATGGGAAGACATATGCGTAATTCACGTGGAAACGAGTCGTTCTTTTTTATATTTTTTTTCTCTTTTCCGTGTATATTTCTTGTTGTTGTTCTTTTCTTTCCTTTGTGGTGTTTTTTTCTTTTTGTTTTTCTCCTCAACCCTGCTCATTTTTTTTGTTGTTGATGTCCTCAGTGGTTGGTTCCATTTTCATGATGTTTAATACACACTCTCATGTGGAATCATTAATGAAAAAAAAAAACTCCCCCGAGGCAAGACAAAGCAAATGTAAACAGAAAAAAAAAGTTGAGTCAGTAGAACGAAATAAAAACAAACACTCTTCGCTTTTCACCAATAGAGTAAGCAAGAAACAGAAAAAAAAAAATGACAACAAGCAACAACTCTTGAAAAAGTAATTTAAAAACAGGAGAGAAACCCCACTGAATACATCATATGTCCCACCTCTTACATTTAAGGATTCCACTCTTCCTACGTGTCCATCACGGATGCATAAATTTTTCCCCATTTCTTTTGAGAGCTTGATTTCATTCAGAGCTCAGATGGCGACACTTTTCTTTGTTTTTTTTTTTGCATTCTGTCTTATTTTTTTTTAACAGATAAAGATCTCCTTTTAATTGTTGCTATTAAATTGTTTTTTTTTTTTTTTTCATTGTTAAGGCTCGTTTCCAAACGGACGTCTAAGATTATTTTCATTGGAGATTCACACAACCATGGACTCGACAGAAATGACCCTCTACGCCGTTCCGCGCTTCTTCTTGATAGCCTCAGCCATATGGTTACCAAGTTGGGCCGGTGAGTGGGAAATGATAACACCTGCAGCCTCCAGTGCGTCCATCTTACCCTTGGCCGTGCCCTGTCCACCAGAGACCACAGCACCAGCGTGGCCCATACGGCGGCCGGGAGGAGCTGTCGCGCCACCAATGAAGGAGACCACTGGCTTTTTAATGGGGTGGTTCTTGATGAATTCAGCAGCTTCTTCTTCTGCGCTTCCACCAATCTCACCAATGAGAATAATACCCTCGGTTTCGGGATCCTCAAGGTACAACTTTACACAATCAATCATGTTGGTTCCGTTGAACGGATCACCACCAATTCCGACGCAGAGTGATTGTCCAAGATTGGCTGCAGTAGTCTGAGCAACAGCCTCATAGGTTAATGTACCGCTTCGTGAAACCACACCAATGCATCCCTTCTTGTGAATATGTCCAGGCATAATACCAATCTTGCATTCTTCAGGCTTGATAATACCAGGGCAGTTGGGACCGATAAGGCGGGTCTTGTTCTGAGAAAGAAGCATAGATTTTACACGGAGCATGTCCCACTGAGGAATTCCCTCAGTAATGACAACCACAAGGGGAACTTCAGCATCGAGAGCTTCCTCAACGGCTGCAGCACAGTGAGGGGCAGGAACGTAGATAACAGTGGCATCAGCTCCTGTTGCCTTCACAGCCTCAGAAACAGTACCAAAGACAGGCAGACCAAGATAGGTCATTCCCGCCTTCTTGGGGTTCACACCACCAACCATCTTTGTACCATAAGCAATAGCTTGCTCGGTATGGAAGGTGCCGTGCTTTCCGGTGATACCTTGGCAAATAACCTTGGTGTTCTTGTTAACCCAGCTTCGGATAGCGGTACGGGAGAACATTACTTATTCTTTTTTTTTTCTTTTAATAGAACTTAACAACTACAAATACAAGTAGGATCCACAATATCATTCAAAAAAAAAAATAAACAAGAAGAAGAATATATTAAACTAGACAGAATAACAAACGTCAAAACTAAAAAGAACAAAAAGGCCAAACAAAAGTAGAAATCTTTTTTTTTTTTCTACTCATTAAAAAACACACATAACTACCATCATAAATGAAAAAAAAAATGTAGAACCAAGCAAAAAAAAAAAAAAAACAAGAAGGGAATCGGTATAATTGACAGTTATTCTGGAGGTTGTTCTTCTTTTGAAGATAATTTTGGAGTATTATCAACCACTTGATGGGGAAATGCTAGAGGGAGTTTCATTTCTTTCTTCTGGGCTAATACCATCGGTGGAGGAAGAGATATTGGGCCTGTCGCAGTCTTTGCACGGTGTACCATAGAATTTATCCTCGTCCATCGCTCTTGATTTCTCTGTACAATAGTACAACATCCTTGAATAATATCGTCTCCGCGAAAAGGTATTTTTCTTTTCTTTATTCTCGCCTGATCACGATGGTTAACAACAATTTTTATTAATTTATCAAATTGAGATACAAACCACATGCCCTCACTAGGATTACTTTCAAAAACAGTAGAAACTGCATGACTAAATGTAAGAGCCCTAAATACATCAACCTTTACTTGAACTAACTTTAATATATTAAAGTATATCTCTTGACTACAAGTAATCCTACTCTCTGCAACATTTTTGGCTTCTTCATATAGTTTAAGTACTTGATGCGACAACTTTGCCACTAGTGCTTTGTCACCCTTTAAATCGTTTTCAACTGCTTTTGTAGTTCCAATTTCTTGAGCTTGGGCTAGAGCGATAAAATAACAAAACTCTAGAAAATTAATCGTCATTTCTTCAGGTGGGTCTAATTTTGTAATACCAACAGAAAATACCCTTACATCCTCTCTCATTTCCTTAACAAGATCGAAAAAACCTGCTGCCTGCAAAAGGTAACGATATCCCTCTTTTTCAAGGGCAGAGGCATTACTAGGTGTCATATCCCAACAGAGTAATTTTTCTGTTATATTCATAAGAATAACTGCAACGTTAAAAAACATACACTGCAAGTCGTATCGAAAATCATCAAACGCAATATATTGCTTACTTCCCAAAGAAGAACTCCAGGAATAATAATAACCATAAGCAAACACTGGAAACTTGTATAATACCGTAGCCACTTCAGTTGCATAAAGATTTACGGCATCCACAAGATTGGATATCATTTTTTCTCTTCCCTCGCTGGTATTCCATGAGGAATTCAAATTTTTCCCACCCTTCTCAAACACATTACAGAACAATTCAAATTGAGAAGTACACATTGTTCGCTTTGTCTGAATGCCTTTTATCACATCGGATGGAATACTCTTAAGATCAACGTTAGAATTTTCTTTTGGCGGCATTGGTCTCTTAAGCGGTAAAGTAATAAATCTAAAAGCCATCTCCCTTTATGAGTTGCAATGACAACTTCTTATTCTAGAAGATATGCAAAATTTCTCAGCGAAAAATGAAATAAATTCAAAGACATAACCACAAAGAAAATAATAATGAAAAAAAAAAA